TGCTAATATAAAATTTTGACGGCACGTGGCGAAATGTCAGTGAGAGATTGAATAAATAAAAAAAGTATTACATTAATGACAACCTTAGCTTATTTTTCAGAAAAATTCTAATATGATATTAAATTAATAATTGACTTAGAAAAAAATAAATAAATACCTACACCGCAAAGCCAGGCTATAACTAGTATTGCGGCGAATCGATTAGCCATAACAATGGTGATTGTTTTTCGGGAAAATTTTGTTGGTCGACTTGATCACCGTGACCCCGAGGTTGGGTAACACCCCACCCTCCGAGGGGGCGTGGTTACCCTCCGCAGGCACGTCTAAGGAGCGCGGTAAGGCGCCTTATTTTGCTCCCAAGCTTTCGACCGTTGCTATAGGTACATGTACGTGAACTACACTTGATGGGTGTATACACCCTGTGTTTGGGATTTAATCAATAGTTTCCCTCGAGGGTTAAACGTCTGATTCTTTAACCGTTTACGCTGAATTGTGAACGCCAATTTTGTTATCATTCTCAGTTTAGCTAATTTTTACTTTAAAAGTACTGGTTAAGATTTTTTTATTTTCTCGTGTTTCAGTTTTATTTGAAATTAATTATATAGAACCTAATATCCATTTCTACAAAATATTAATTATGCTTTGTATATAAATAAAAAAAGAAAAATTATAGTTTTAAAATTTAATATATAAGGTTAAATAATAAATTAAAACAAAGAATAACTCCAGGGGATTTCAAAATCATATTCGCTTCAGTATGTAGGTGCCTAAACGAAACTGAAATGGGAGACGCATCGTGGCATTTTATTTTGGGTAAACAGAATACGACACATGCTCAAAAACAAACTATTAAAACATCGTTTTTCACTAAACCAACAAGGTTCATTATTTGTATTTTGGTAGACACATTTTTGTTTAACTTTTGATTCGACACTTTCAGTTGTGACTTTTTTAGGTTTCTACGTGAAAGTGAATTTTATTTAACTGCAAATGTTTCAATTTCAAAAAGATAATACTGAACCTTTTTTACTTTTTACTAGCTTTTGCCCGCGATTTCGTCTGCGTCTGTGTAATTTTAGAACATAACTACTTTTATATTTCAACTTTCCAAAATCAAAGTAGCCTATGTTAGTACATCAGCTAATTGTCAATTAAAGTCTTACAAAGTCTGTGCAGAAATTCCAGAGATTACCTAGGACAAACAGAGAAACAGTTATACAAAAATTGCAAAAAATGCTATTTACGGATAGAGAAAAATTGTAAGAAAATGTTAGTTTGATATGTGTATCGTATGTATATTCACATGCATTGAGTAAAAAGCGGTTATTTTTATATGCTAGACACTCCAATTTTATTTATCTGTACGATACATTTATTGTTCTTTTTTATTTATTAAAAATAACACACTGACACTGAATTTTTGTGTGTGTATGTGTGTTTATATACACAATTTCACATACACAATCAAATAAAACCTCTGATTAACAATTTGGGGATCACGTAATGAATTTAATCGAACGCGATATGAGTCACCTTGTATAGCAGTTACACTCAGTCACTGCACGACTGTACAGGCAGACACAATATTGACAAAAATATGGTAAAGGCATTGATTGTAGACTGCGATGCGAACAGCAGAACGGAAGCAACATAGAGAGTAACGTAACTGAAAAAGGGCAGAGGAAATAAATAAAAAGGGAGCAATACGAGATTCGAACCTCTTGCTTTGTACCAACGGCCGACAAGGCATTCATGTGGAAAATTCCCATGATAATTGAACCTGCATTTTCTTTATAGAGGTTATTTGATCTTCTTAACTGTAAAATGAAATTGATATTTTACAGTTTTCAATATGGAAGAATTGTCAAATATTCAAAGTTATTTCTCTGACAAAGTGTACTGAGCATTGAAAAATCGGCCCTTAGTGCAAACTTTCAATTTGTTTCTTTTAACCAGAGAAGGATTCAGAATGCATGGGCCCCGTTTTAAATTCTGTTCCCTTCGTAAGGTGAGATCATAAAACTCGCAACACTACAATACAGGATATTTTGAGAGTGCTATACAAAATCACTACAAAATGGATATGGTGGAGGTGCATTTGGGCTAGTACGCAAATCGGGCGCATTTATGTAGGGCCCGTAGTAATTGCGACTTGCTACCGTTAGTCCGGCAATGCGATATTTGTTCTAACTATTCTATGTCATCATCATCATATCGACCATAGGACGTCCACTGCAAACATAGGCCTATGACTTCCATATATATTATATATAAACAATGATATTATAAAGAAGATACGCTACGTTCATACTAAGCGGCGTCCAAAAATTGTTGCGTTCTTATTACAAATGTACTTAAATGTCATTTTCAACTACGTGCGACAGATAATACGGAAAGTATGGTACAGAAAGAGATAGCTATTATAAAATTACGACAATTGTCTGAATTCGTTCGCAACAATTTTTGCGTGCCAGTGCGATATCTACCTCTTTTTATTATTTATAATATCATTGTATATAAAGCATTTAAAATTCTGTAGTACCTCAGTATTATAGACATAATCGCGGGTAACCGTCACATTTATGTGGAGTATCGTTCAGTCTTACGGGCTATAAGAAGAATGGACGGCTAGTTTAAAATGATCTGTTATCTGACGTATATTAAACTACTAGCTGTCACCCGCGACTTCGTTCGCGTAAAATTATTCATATTTCTTGTTAATTTATACTTTTTTGATGCAACAACGTGTTGATTGGCGAGGCCTATTTGAGAGCTAGTATGAAACGGAACGTTTATTGTCTACTCAAGATGGTGACTGCGGGTTTTCTGTCAGTGTTATTAAAATGACATAATCTCCGTAATCCAAATTTTGAACACAGAACCTTCTTCTGAAATAGGCAATAGACACAATATACTATCCGCATTCTGCAGTTCCATTATAAACACTTTATTACTATTTCGCTTAATACTCGATATTAATCGACCTCTAGCTTCACTGGCTACGAGTATAAAAAACCATTCCATTTGATATGAAAATAGTTTTTAAATGCACTTCACTTTTTTTACCTCTCAGTTAAATAAATTAACTTAACAGCTCCATTCCATTACTTGTATTAAAATTATTAACAACTGATACTTCGATAATACTTGCTTTTGCGAATTACATTTTGGCGAAATATTCAATGTTTTTATGAAGTATTCAATTTTATTTCATACGTATTTCAATATTGTGAGGCGTTAACTTATTTATGTATATAAGTGATAAGAAATTGTTTGCGCATAAAATAGAGAAAACCCTTATACTTTATTATAACTATAATTTTGGCCATGGTCGTCGCACTGCAGGATAAAGGCCTCCCTATCCTCCTTCCACTGGTTTCTTCTTATAGCTTTCCTTCTAAAAAAAATAGTTAATTTTTCTTTAAACGTAAGAGAATGTAAATAAGAGGGCTCAAATGAATAACGTAAAAGAAACAATATTTTATTCGCAAACGGTTCCTTTTCTTTTGACATGATTATGTCTTTAAAATTAATCAGACATATCTATTCACTTATTCCATATTTAAACAATTAAAATCATTAACTATTTTGATTTTTGTGTCTAATTTACAAGAGTAAGCAACCCTAATTTAAACTACCATGCTATTTGCGCTTACTCGATCATAAAGGGGCATAGCTTTAGAGTACAAAATCGTTTAAACATCTAACTTGATATAAGCCTTTTGTACTTCTCAGTTACGAGATTTAGCTTCGTGACTTTGTTTTAAAATATACGTTTAGTAAAACTAAATGTTAATCTAATTGGCTAAATAAAAAATGAATATATAGATTGTTCTGTAAAACTTTGTAAAACGTGTGCAGTATACATTGACATTATCATAGCGAAGCATTTTTATGATCGACTATAGAGGTACAAAATACTCTATCAGCAGTTAGTGCCAATCATTTAAATTACTAAAGTGTATGTATTGTGTTTTGAGTTCTCAACAACACTCATTGTTGTTGAGAACTCAAAACACTGACTTGCTTTATTAAACAAAATACTCATTTTCAATATCGAGGTAAAATTCATTAATACAGAAGTTTAGGAACACAAGTCCAACAATCGTACATATATCTAAATAGTACGATATCGGTGATTGAGAATGAAACGAAGCCGAGTTCACGGCTGAATACATCGAGTTGTGTCGTGTGTTGTCTGACAGCGGCGCGGCGTGCTATCACCTATTTATTCTACAAACTGCAACACTGCGACGCCGACATCTATTTTTGAAAAGCACCATCCAATCCTGACTCGCTTTGATAAATTACCTCGATAAATCCCTAATAGAGGACAGCAATCGGCGATTTAACCCACACATATTTACCCAGCAAACAATCCTCTCCAAGTCCCTTTAAAGACGCAAATACAACAAGTAACAAGTTTGGTAATCTAGTTCACAAGAACCTGTCTCTATATATAATTCTGAAAATTTAATTTCAATTCAAACGCCGTTCGTCAAAGACCATCTTGTACCCACTCCACACAACATAATGTTATATGAAACGTCTCGAGCAAGTATTTCAAGCTTGAATAAATTACGTGCTTTGAAGCGCGCACTTTGGAAACGCGCAATTTAGTAACAAGGTCCTAAGACGCGCAGCGGTTTGTCTGCAATGTCTTCTGTGATTAGAACTCGCGATATTACTTCGCTACGAACTCCTAAGTAACGCTTTAACCAACTTCTCAAGCGCGATCTGTGTGCCCCGTCAAAGAGTACCAATACACCGTGTGTAGCTCTTAGTAACTAAACAAGAACTAGTGTTCCTAAACTTGCCTCTGGAATCTCGAAATTGAATAAGCAATGCAAGTTTCACAATGTACCTTTGAAGCAGCTTATCAACTAAGATGAGATGTAAAGGCCATGCATACACTTTGGTTTTAGTTTACTATCGTTAAATCATGCGTTTAGGAGTATTCGACTTACCACATGCTGCTAATGATAGCGATGTTACCACAGAACTCAGCGCCAGCATCAAGCGGGAGAAGATTGTGGAGATCTGTGAAGGATGTGGTCAGAAGATCCAGGACCGCTACTTGATGCGAGTGGGTGAGCTGTCCTGGCACGAGCACTGCCTCAGCTGCTGTGTCTGCGGCTGCCCGCTCGCACACACCTGCTACACCAGAAATGCCAAGCTTTACTGCAAACCCGACTATGATAGGTAACTACTTCACCCTAAACCTTTGACGGCAAAATGTTCACTCACCACGTTTTGCTCTTGAAGGTTTTGTTTAAACTATTCATACTAACCCGGCACAACTTCTTGGAAACTTTGTTTCTAGGAGTTTATTTACTGTTCTGTCACCCTAGGTTAAAATATTTATTAGATACACATGTGCCCTAGCAACTACTCCTGCGAACTGCTAGCGATGGCCTATGCGAACTGCTCGGCGATTTGAACTGCTATGTGTTTTTGCAATAATGAGTTCTTGTTCTATAGATTGTTCGGAGTCAAATGCACCAGGTGCGGCGACCGCCTCCTGCCGCAGGAGATGGTCATGCGAGCTCAACAGTACGTGTTTCACATTCAATGCTTTGTGTGCGTCATGTGTTGCCAGCCTCTCCAAAAAGGAGAACAATACGTCATCAGAGCAGGACAAATCTTCTGTCGTCAAGATTTTGAGAAGGAAATGTATTTGATGCAACACGCTGAAGATGATATGATATTAGATGATTCTGAACGTCCTCGAGATGGTCGCAGAGGCCCGAAACGTCCACGAACCATACTTACATCAGCGCAACGCAGGCAGTTCAAAGCCTCATTTGAAGTCAGTCCAAAGCCATGCAGGAAAGTCAGAGAAGCATTGGCCAAGGACACGGGTCTAAGCGTCCGAGTTGTGCAGGTATGGTTCCAGAACCAAAGGGCTAAGATGAAGAAGATTCAGAGGAAAGCAAAGCAAGAGGGAGAGAAGAACAATGACAAAGAGAAGGACAAAGATGAGAAGAGCATCAAGCAAGAGTCTCCTTCGAGCGAGCACGGCAACTACCTGGGCCTGGATGGAGCATACTCAGCTTCAAGTCAACCACTCAACCCGAATCTACCGTACTCTCCTGATGGTAGGTCATATTAAATATTACTTTATAAAATTATTTTATACAATATGAATTATATAAACGAAAGTACGTAGAAAATTTGAAATAACACTTATTCTGTAATTCCACTATGAAAAGCGAGAGTGCCGCAAAGTGAAACCAAATATGCACACTATTTATCTACGTTTATATCCGACACGTCAAATATTTTGTAAAGTATACATTTACAGACAGACGGAGTGCAATTAAAGCTTTTCATTGCATTAATTTATATTATTCCTTCATTTTGGATTCGTAGTTTATTACGGTACGAAATAAATAATGAATTTTGTATTTGCCAGTTTATTATCGTTACATTCAATTTTATCTTGTCATTTTCAGATTATCCGGCACACTCTGGCGACAGCTTCTGCAGCTCAGACATATCTTTGGATGGGAGCAACTTCGACCAGCTGGACGAGGGTGCCTCCGATACGATGAGCTTGCAGAACTTGGAAGTGCAGCATCACTCGCACCAGCACCCCGGCCACTCGGCGCACGAGCCACTGAACCTCGGCACTGGCTCCGTCGTGAACCCCATAGACAAGTTATACCTCATGCAGAATTCTTACTTTAGTACTGATCATTGATTTAACGTGGGACGTGGCGCTGCCCTGACTCCTATGTTTGGCCAGCGACTGCGCCCAACAACGCACGTCCCCAAATGTACCGAGACTGCTACTAGTCACAACTTTGTCTATACCAATGTATATCCACAAACTGCTGTCTTGAACCAGACTGATACACTGATGAACCATTGTAGGTAAACTGTGTATGAAGCTGTTGATTGTTCCGTAGTTAAATTAGCATGGGCAAATATATAAATGTCGTAGGTAGCACTGTCTGTATTTGCATTGTGTAATATGATCTAGTTTCCTTCTGTACTACAAAACATACTCCTGTAGATACATCAAATGTGGTAACAGCTGCCACCTTCCTTTTTAACTTGCAGAACTATCGTAGATTACAACCTTTGTATTATTAGACCTAAACTCTATTGCGTCTTCATTACGAAATGGTATTTCTTATAGTCTAAGATCCGGCTGCAGAATCAGTGTACCCATCGAGTGTTTGCTGAAAACCAAATTTTTACACATATTCATGATTAGGAGAATTTATATCCACCAGGTTGCCTATCAAAATGTGGCCGCTAGTATTTTTAATTAAATTATTAATAATTCATAATCCGTAAGAAATTTCACTGACTTTTTTTTTCAATGAAATGTCGTCTACTTCACGGCAACATTTATAAAGACTCTGAAAAATTATGGTTGCCGTTGCGCACCTGGCCGCACCTCTTCGCAGCCAGGTATACACAGGTATGAATTTGTTACATTTATACACCCACAACGTACATTTATAATTTATATATCAAATTAAAGCAAATTTTTTTCTGTATATTATTATATACGGTTGCTTAATTAAATCTGACCGCCAATAAGGGTTGCTGGCTAATAAATATAGTAAATATTAAAAGTAGAGTGAAAGAGAGCTAGCGCGTAACACCACTAGTCACTAGGTACGACTCAAAATAATAAATACTCCAAAAGAAACGTCTTTCTTTTCTAAAATTAAAAATTAAAAAGTCAACGACAAATTTAAAAATTTATTTGTACTCTGATTTATTATCATTGTCTTTAAATCGTAATTTGTCAAAAAAAGTAATTATTTTCATGAAAAACAAACAATTATTAGATTAATTAACATAACTCAATTATATTTATATTTTTTCTTGCGACGAAACAATAACATTAGAGAACACTTTTTGAATGAAGCATTATCAAAGTCTAGTACATTGCATTTTTTGTCGCACAGGAAACACGCCTTCATCCTTATAAATTTTATTTCACTTAAATGAGATTGATAATTTTTCGATGCACAAATAAAACAGCAATTTTTTTTTGATCCGTTGACAACACTAACATCTGACGCATGCGCAATGGCTTTAAACCGTCTGACAGCTGGCAATCGCTATCCTCGTCTGACTAGTGGTGTTACGCGCTAGCTCTCTTTCACTCTACTTTTAATATTTACTATATTTATTAGCCAGCAACCCTTATTGGCGGCCAGATTTAATTAAGCAACCGTATATAATAATATACAGAAAAAAATTTGCTTTAATTTGATATATAAATTATAAATGTACGTTGTGGGTGTATAAATGTAACAAATTCATACCTGTGTATACCTGGCTGCGAAGAGGTGCGGCCAGGTGCGCAACGGCAACCATAATTTTTCAGAGTCTTTATAGATGTTGCCGTGAAGTAGACGACATTTCATTGAAAAAAAAAGTCAGTGAAATTTCTTACGGATTATGAATTATTAATAATTTAATTAAAAATACTAGCGGCCACATTTTGATAGGCAACCTGGTGGATATAAATTCTCCTAATCATGAATATGTGTAAAAATTTGGTTTTCAGCAAACACTCGATGGGTACACTGATTCTGCAGCCGGATCTCGTACTATTAGGTCAAGACAAGATAAGACAAAACAATGATATTTCATTCAAATTATAATAATAGGATACCTCCTGTAAAACAGTACATCCCTGTGTTAATCCCCCCCAATAAGCAAACCAAATAGGCAAAATATTTAATAATTGTAATTTTATCACGATAGTAAATTATTCTAGAAATGATTAATCACCTGGTTCACCACAGTTTTATTGATCACTTTTACAGCTCTCGATGTTGTACTAAAACAGTCGATAATTGCAATTTCAGTGTCTTAGGCTTTGTATTTGTAACCTGTTAAATGTAGACGTCGAAATGAATCGAAGAAATATAATTATTAAACAGTAAATATATAAAATAATTTACAGAACTTACCAATCACTGAGGAGATTTATATAAATAGGTCGTCTGTTGTATATAAAGAAAATTGATGTAACTAAATAAAAAGTAGAAAGAACCTGTATATGGCGAATAAATTCTAAGGATATGTTGTTACCTTCCGTAAGAATTAATACGTTCGCTTGTATATATGAATCTGAACCACAATATTGTCACTTAAATTTTGTAGAATACAGAAAAGGTCAAACATTTGAGATAGACTACTTCTACTATAAATATTACTTCATTTCAGTAGATAAAGTTAATTTTATTCGTTTCAGTTATCCAATCTTCTAGCTGACTGACCTATGAGCAAATAATATGTAACTTAATAAGAAATTAGTTTTCTGAGAAATATAATACAGTTTATTATATCATTCTTTAGGTATCTTACTTATTTCTGGACACATTGACAGTTGTGCCACAAAAATAGGTCGGTGCGATATAAAAAAAATACACTCGAATTTCAAGATTATTTCCAAATATTATTATTTCTACTGTTGAAATAAATATCTATTAGCACAGTTTATAGAATTTCTAATTGTAAATAATGTATATAAAGTTATAAAAATATATCTTAGGCCACGATTTCAGAACTTATAACTGTGTACTGTGTAGAATATACTTTTTGAGATACATAGTCAACGTAATGGGTATAGGTAGACAAACATGTATAAATTTTTATCTGATGTTGTACATCAAAATTATTGTAGTTGTAAGTAGTGGGTGTCTATACATATGTGCTAACTAATATACCTTTCAAACAATTTCAATATTTACAAATCTGAACCGTAAGTAGTTTTTAACAGTTCGATTTTATATCACAATTTGTTTATCTATAGTCTGTTCGTTTTAAGAAAAATACCTGTTCAAGAACGTTGATGAATAAGAGAATGTTTTCTTAAAATGAATAGACTAACACAAATGTTCTTTGAGTATTATAAATGTCTAGCTGTGTCCGTAACAATATTCATTAATTCAATGTTATAGAAGTTATTCCGAAGTAGGATATTCATGTTCTAAGCACCCATTCCACAGTTGTATTTACTAAATCTGTACATGTTTAGAGTAGTTATTAACTTGCTAACAAATTACAGGCAACCCTAGTCATTTTTTCATATTGTTTCTTAGTCAAAAATTAGTTTAATAGTAATAATTATTATATTGTGTAGTAGGTTTTATTTAAATTATTGTATTATATTAAACAAATGAGTTTTTATGTTAATGTTTTATACGTAAATAGGTTCTTAAATGTGATGGTTGGACGAACAATCTAGTCAAACTAAGTGTTATGTCCATGCAAGTTTATTTAGTTAAAGGGGTGCAAGTCTGTTAGCGTAACTGGGTCTCAATGACTTTTCAAAACAGTACTAATCACAATGACCGTTCAATAAGACTTTTGATTACAATTGCGTTGTTTAGCAGACTTGGACTTCTGGAATGGACCTGGATTATCAGGTGTGGATCATCAGGCTTCATTTACGAACTCAGTGGCGAGTTTTCACCTTTATAATTTATCAATGGAACCTTTTTCGAAGGTAACACCACTGAGTTCGTAAATTAAGTGTAAGAGCTGACCGAGGAAAGATAATGTCTCCTGTATAACATGAAGTAAGTCAAGGATCCACCACTATGTATGTACTATATAGTTTATCCGGTAATTTTATAAATTGATGTAAATTAAAACGATGTAAACTGCGACTTGTTTTAATGACTAAATCATTATGTGAACTTCAAAGTGAATGTTTGTCTTTAAGACTTTGACTGCCAATAAAAAACTGTTGAAGGTAAATCCTCCGCTAACGCCGGTCCCCGGTGACCCCCATGGCGTTTAACGTGTTAAGCGTTGATGTATAGGACAAGGATAAAGATAGCTTTATCCTCTTCTAACTTTTACCCGCGGCTTTGCGCGCGTATTCATGTTTTATCCCATGGGAGCATGTAATCTGGATTATCCTCCTATCACTTAATTTTGCCTATTTTAATGAAATTCAACGAATATGTTATACAAGCAGGGTTGTTTGTATACCAAATTTCATCAAAAATCCTTTCAGTAGTTTCAGCGTGATTAACTGACAAACATTCAAACAAATAAACTTTCACGTTTATAATAGAAAGAAAGAAAGAAAGAAAGAAAAACCATTCAATACAAGTGTGATATTGGTAAAAACAGTGATGGCAAGTAGCAACCTGTTATTAACTATTGATTAACATAAACATAACATGACGCCTTTTATCCCCGAAGGGGTAGGCAGAGGTGCACAATATACCACTGTACAATGTAGCATCCACTTTTCACTATTTATGTTATGAGTCCCATGTTATAGGGGGTGAGCCTATTGCCATATACCGGGCACAATTCCAGACTTCGTGCTACTACTGAGATTTTTTTAAAACCAAGTAATACTTTGCCCGACCCGGGAATCGAAACCGAGACCCCTTGCCCGGCAGTTGCACTTCCGACCACTCGGTCAACGAGGTAGACTATAACTTTCAACCCTCGCGAACACGTGGGATCGCATTCACTATGTAACACTCACTTTTCCCAGTTACGTATTGTTATATTTCAAAGATATTTGTGTCCACTTTTCCTTGTAGTAGGGTTTTTTTAAGGGGGGAAAATCATCGAGTGACTGCTCCCGCCTGGGTGAGGCGGAAGGGAGTGTCAGACTCTTACTGACTAAAAACCCCGTTCCTTCTCCTGCACGTCGAGCCGGAGCCCCGGTTACCTGTTAGGTGTAGTAGGGGGTAAGCC